ACTCGCAATAATCAGAGGAGAAATTTCTTGCCCCAAGTGTTCAATGTGATTTCCAATAAATGAAAACTTAGTGAAAATGCGCGCCAGTGAAGTATAAATACCCAATCGAAGAAAGCACCAGTTCGAAAGAGTGGGGGAAAATAAGCTCGAGTTTTTAGCGATGCAAGACGAATTGGTCACTGCTTCAAGAATTTCGAATTAAAGTCCTCGAATTTTCTTGAAGTAAGGGGCTATTGATTGACCGTTGATTACTCCGACACGTCACCAATGATTCAAATAAAAAAGAAAGATGTGTAAGGACCACATGTGAAATGACAGCAGTTTGGATGAATGCACAGAGCTTGATTAAATGATTTGGTAGCACTTCAACTTATTTCCCCCCGTATGGTTACCTGCTTTCACCGATTGAAAACCAAAAATTCAAATGGGAAACCACCCCTCATACCAATTGTTACTTTTTGATCTCCTATAAATACCCACAATGTAGAAATGAAAGGGTGTGAAATTTATTTTTTATTTGATATTTGACTCTCCAAACAAATACTGACATAACCTTCAGAGTGCTAACTCCTTTTTGTAAGTTCGGATCACGGGACACCCCAAGAATCACCCATGCATTTAACAACCTTTGCTATTCCTTCCCGCAATTGCGCACATTCCATAGATCACCAAAGGAAGGGCGGGCAAGCAGGGACTGGAGTTCGGCTCCAAACTCCATCTTCCAACCTCATGGCCTTTACAGCCGGTGTTCACTGTCTCTCTGTCTTGGTAATGTGGCACGTTGCAAACTAATTTAGTGACTCTAATAAACGAGCAAGCATTTGAGCAAAAAGTTCATTAACTTCTGGGTCTTTCTTTAACAAAAACCCTGTGGAATTGGAGTGAACAGTACATGAGTAGGAGATTCTGGACTTGTAACATGAAATTCAACCGTAAGACAAAATTTGGAAGTTACAGATGCCGCTCCAATATAGCTAATAATATCCATGTAAAGTGTTTTACTTGTACAGAGAGCACGTAATTCATCAAACTAATATCATGTGACAATGCCTACCAACAAATCCTCTGCACCAAACAAAAAGGATTGGAAATGTAACCAACCAACCAACTAGCAATACCCCAATCCGATCTGCCCCGCAAAAATGAAATGGCAATACAAATTCGTGCCCGATGAGAAGGCAAAATTTTTAACCCGGAAATCAATTTTAATCCTATCTTCTCATTTACTATCGGTAAAATCTGCATCAATAACATCGCCTTCAGGTCCTTTGCCTGATGGTTCGGATGGCCCTGATTCGCTTGGTCCGGCACCGGCACTGGCACCCGGCTGATTGTACAAGGATTGCCCCAGCTGCATCACCTCTTGGTTCAGAGCAGCCATAGCATCCTTAATGGCTTGGGTTGCCCCACCTGAAATTGCATCCTTCAATTCTCCGAGTTTCAATTCCACCTTCTCCTTCACTGGCCCGGGCACCTTGTCTCCAAGCTCCTTCAGCTGCTTCTCTGTCTGGTACACAACAGAATCAGCCTGGTTCTTCGTGTCAATAGCATCTCTCTTCTCCTTGTCCTCCTTTGCAAACTTATCCGCCTCGCTAACCATCCGTTCCACCTGTGCACACACATAGGTTCATTTGTTAACAATCAAGCAATGGCAATCAATTAATTAACAATTGTTCTCAAGCTCAGCGGAAGCAAATGCAAACTATACCTCATCACTGGGCAACGTGCTAGCACCAGTAATGGTGATATCTTGCTTCTTGCCTGTGCCTTTATCAACCGCAGTAACAGAGAGGATTCCATTGGCGTCGATGTCAAATTTGACTTCAATTTGGGGAACCCCACGTGGTGCAGGTGGGATACCATCTAGTCGGAAGCTTCCAAGTGATTTGTTGTCCCTCACAAATTCTCGCTCTCCTTGAAGAACATTAATCTCCACGCTGGTCTGTCCATCAGCGGCTGTGGAGAACACCTCTGACTTGGAGGTAGGAAGTGTAGTGTTTCTTGGGATAATTTTAGTCATAACACCACCAAGAGTCTCAAGACCCAAAGATAGTGGACTCACGTCCAATAGAACAATGTCACTAACGTCTCCAGCCAAAACACCAGCCTACAAACAAACAAATAAACAAAAAAATACCCCTTTTCAACCATAATCCAGACTTCTATATTACATATATTTTACCCAACATTCATTTAATTTAAAGATTAACACAATTCTGACGCCACGTATCTTAATTGAGTTTCCAAAATTCACTAAGTAAAAGGGTATTTCCATTTTTCAAATTCAAAAATTCAAAATAATGGATCGTTTTAATAATTTATTCAAAAATTTTAAATTTTATTTCTTAGGCTAACTAATAGGAAACAATACCTTATAGCTTCACAATATTTATTTAACAACGAAGTAATGATCATAAAATTTAGGCCATCACGAAATAAATCTCTTCGAAGAAGGTTACCACCGGAGTCGTTAACAGAGAAAGATGTTCACAATGACAAACAAATAAGCGCACCTGAACGGCAGCACCTAGAGCAACAACTTCATCAGGATTGACGGTAACATTTGGTTCCTTCCCAGTCATCTTCTTAACAAGCTCCTGAACAGCTGGAATACGTGTTGATCCACCCACAAGGATAACCTCGTCAATATCTTTAAAGGAGAGTTTTGCATCCCTCAAGGAATTTTCAACTGGAGTCTTGAGCCTGAGTGTTACCAGTTAAAACAAATATAATATATTAGAAGCTTGTGTCACTTTCCTTCTTTTTTCTTAAAAACATTTCTAAAAGATTGATCCCACCAGTCAGTAACAATTCAAGTACCTATCAAGAAGATCTGAGCACAATTCTTCAAACTTGGCCCTGGTAATAGTGGTCTCAATGTGCTTAGGGCCATCTGCCGTGGCAGTGATGAAAGGCAGACTGAAAGAGGACTAACGTTAGCAAAGTGAAACAAAAATCAAATAAAAAAAACACAGCACAATTGAGGTCAACAACAATAGACAATAGGATATATTTCATGCACCTAATGTTAGCCTGGGTCAAAGATGACAGCTCCATTTTGGCTTTCTCAGCTGTCTCAGTGAGCCGCTGAAGAGCCTGTTTATCTTTCAGCAAATCTATGCCTTCATCCCTCTTGAAATTTGCAGCGAGCCAGTCAACAATTCTCTGCAGATTGTTACATGGAGATTCAAACTTATCAACCTTTATGTATATGGAAAATAAATGTTTGGTAAAGTTATTCTTCTGAAAGCAAGCCAACCTTATCAAAGTCATCACCCCCCAAATGAGTATCTCCCGACGTAGAAAGCACTTCAAACACTCCATCACCCACCTCAAGCACTATAAACAAAAGAGATTCCAGAATTAATCGTGTGCCACATGCAATAGTATGCGACAACTAGCAACGAAAGGGCTGGTGTAATTACTGTTAGGAAGCCATAAACTTGATAGTAGACATGTACCTGAGACATCAAAAGTACCCCCACCAAGATCAAACACCAAGATGGTTTCGTTGCTCTTCTTTTCAAATCCATAAGCTAATGAAGCAGCAGTGGGTTCATTGATAATACGCAAAACTTCGAGACCAGCAATACGACCAGCATCCTTTGTGGCCGTTCTTTGAGAATCATTGAAGTAGGCAGGCACGGTCACGACAGCCTTTGTTACTTTATCATTTAGAAACTTCGAAGCATCGTCCACCAGCTTTCTTAACACCTAAACAAGTCGTCATACGCATATCCAGGAGATTAGAGAAAATGGGGCAAACGGAGAAACAAAAAGAAAGTAATATCATCATTCAGCATGCTTAAGTAACAGACTATCTTTCACATAATCCCATCTATAGAATTAAATTCGATAAGCAACTCCGGCATTTTATCAACATCTAAAGTAATTTCCATGTGATATTCTTATCATCTCACCATTCCAGCCTACCACATCATCAGAAGCCAAAATAAATTCACCATGATAAGAACAATAATCAAGCAATACCTGAGCTGAAATTTCTTCCGCGGCAAATTGCTTTCCAATCGCCGGGCATTCCAGCTTCACATTTCCATTCTCATCGCGCACTACCCTGTAGGAGACCTGCTTGGACTCCTCATCCACCTCGGACATCTTCCTACCAATAAACCTCTTCACTGAAAAGAAAGTATTCTCAGGGTTTACGACTGCCTGTCGCTTGGCAATTTGTCCCACAAGCCTGTCTCCGTTCTTTGTGTAAGCCACCACCGATGGTGTTGTCCTCTGCCCTTCAGCATTAGTAACAATAGTTGGCTTCCCACCTTCCATGGCTGCAACTGCGGAGTTGGTAGTTCCGAGGTCGATTCCCACAACTTTCTCATTGACGACCCTCAATGGCCTGACACTCGAACTCCTACGACTAATATCGCTCCTCAGCTTCAAAAATGTCGCGCTAGAAAAACCAGAAGAATTGCCAAGTTTACTGCCGAAGAACAGAGTCCGTGAAGAGACGCGGTTAGGCTTTCTCATGGAGGCCGCAGCGAAGGACGGAGCTCCGAGGCCATGGATCTGGGCAGTAGAGGAAGCCATTCACAAAGGAATAGTAGAGAAGAAGAGAAGAAAATCAGAGGGTAAATTGGAATCTAAATCGATAGCGAAAAGTTGAGAAGAATTCCCTAGAGAAAGAAGGTAATGGAAATTTGCTAGGAAATTGGGGAAGAGTTGGTGGTTGAAGGAGATAAAGAGGAGGGAGGAAACAGGAAAGGGTTTTTGAAGAAAAGGTGAGGGTTAGGTTATGACACGTGGGTTAGGGTTCTAGAATAATCTTCAGCCTTCGGCCATCTAATCTTCCGCAGTGGATTGGATGAATATAGACCCTTGGATTAATATTTTCTTCTACAAATTGGGCCAAACTTATATTGGGCCTTCTCCGTTTCGGTTCAAACTTTGGGATTTCAAATGCAAAATTAAGAGCTCGTTTGGTTGGATTTGTTTTCAGATTCACTCAATCAGTTCAGATGTATTTGACAGAATTTTTTAGATTCGTTCTTTAAAATTGTTCTTAGATACTGTAATTCAAACAGTAAAAATTTTGAAAACGACTTTTTTATATTTTCACTATTTTTATATTCAAAATTTGAAATGTTTAAGATATAGAATTACATTGAAGATATAAAAACTTTGATAAAATATATTACTGTATATTATAAAATCATTTTATACTTGTTAAAATTGAAACATGCAAAATATAATATATTCTAAATTATATAACCTTGTAAAATAATAACCATACAAAATTTATAAAAAAAAATGTTAGTAAATTACTTAATATAAGTTTACATTAAACTAAAATTTAGTTTTTAACTACTTTTTAGTTTATAAATATATTGCCAAACAAACATTGAACAATTTTTTAAATTCAGATTCAATTATCAAATCTACTACCAAACACATACCTGAAAACATTGAGAACAAATAATAAAACTTTGATTTTCATTGAATTACTTGTTTTCAAATTTCTATTTTTTGATTATCAACCAAATGCACCCTAAGAAAATTACCTCAAATGTGTAATAGCGATAGTTTCACATATGTCCATTTTTTTCTAGATTTTACCAATTTAGATTTCAATATGAATTTTAATTTTTTGTTTCAATTTTCCCTTAATGTTATCTTTTAATACATGTTCTAGTATTTTACCACGTGTCTCGCACGTTATATATTAACTTTTTCGATCCAAGCAAGCAAGTTATACAAATGTGGGAATATTTAAGGGTGGAAGAAAGAATATAGGACTTATTTTGTCGTAACTCAAAAAGTATATATAAATTACACAAATTTTTGTAGTTTTAGCGTAATTTCTCCTTGAATTCTTAAAATTAAAAGATGGTTGTTGAATGAGAAATTTCGACTAATTACTAAAGGCTACGTCACAAAATTAAAATTACATTTAAGACCAATGACAAGTTTACATATCTCCTAAATTATTTTTAAATCGACGAATCAAATTGCGTCACGTGTATCTCTTATAGTCGTCCGATGAAATTAACTAATTGGATAAAACCCATGAAGAGACTGACCCAAGCTAATGGCCCATTAAGCCCATTGCCCATAAAAGACTCACCGAAACACTATAAATAGAGGGGTCACCCCTCATTTGAAGAAAAAAGAAGAAAGAGGAAGAAGTCGGAAGAAGCTAGAAGAATTGGATTCAGAGTCAAGCGAAGCATCGAGACTTGAAGAGTACGAGACTTCAAGAACATTGCATCTGTTGGATCGGTATGACAACCCTAGAGAGGGGTGAATGGGGTTGTATGAAACTTTATAATTTTTTTAATATGGTGGGCCCAAATTAAACAAATAAGTAAATTTTTTTATGAACAAATGATTTTAACACAAAATTAAACAACAAATTAAAAATACAAACAACCTAATTAGTTTCACCACTCAAATAATTCAAATACAAATATTGTTAGCATCCATTTTTGGCAACCAAATATCCAATTTATAACCAATTTTGTCATATGACCCAACATTAGACAATAATTTCTTTTTAACAAAATTATTTTGCACACTATTTGCTTTAAGAAATTCTTCATAGGAGAATTTTTCAATTTAAAACAATTAGGTCTAGAATGACCTTTAACTCCACAAAAATGACATATAGACACAAATTTTGATTTTACAAGCATATCTATAGTCTTTTCATGTCTAGGTATAAATTTAGTACTATGCATACATTTATATTTGGCATGTACATGCTTAGGCACAAATTTAGCATTAGACATATAACTACTTCTACCACAAGCATGATTAGGCACAAAGTTTGATTTTGTATGCATATTCTATCATTTTTATGTTTATGCATAAATTTAACATTTGTATTGACATTTAAGGCATTGGATTTAAACAAGTAACAAGAATAAGTATTATTTACACACTTGCCACATGAGGAATAAATAATATTATGCAAAGATTTATTTCTTTTAACAAATTTATGCTCTATGCTTTTCTTTGAAAAATTTTCTTTAAGAGTATTGTGAAACTTTGCTTTTTCATAAACATTTCTTCTTGAAGAAGTAGTAGGAGCATATTTCAAATTAAAGCACTTAGGTCTAATATGGCCTTCAACGCTACAATGATGACATATAGGTATAAAGCTAGTTTTAGCATTCTGTGACACAACCTTAGGCATATTAAGCTTAAGCACAATAGGAGATGCTTTAATAAAGATAGTTTTAGAACTTGAAGGAGTAGAGTATCCATCAACATAGCCTAAACCTCTTTTATCACCATAAGGTTGGACTACTTCAATTATTTTATCTAACCTTTAAGCACCTATTGTCAACTTTTTAATGGACTCTTTTGCAATTTCAAACTCTTTAATAGCAAGCATTTCTTTTCTTTAAGGACATGCAAAAGACCATTTTTCTCACAAACATCAAGCTCAATAAATTTAATTTTGTCAATACAAGAAACTTTATCTTTTTCTAAAGATATATTGCTAGTTTCCAAAATAACAAGTTCACATTTCAAACTAAAAATTTTATCTTTTAATTCCAAAGAAAAAGATTCAATTTTCTCGTTTTTATTTCTCAAATCATTTAATTCAATTTTTAATTCACATGCTAAAGATTTAAGATCTCCATTTTCTTTTTCAAGAGATTTAATCCTCTCACTATTCAAAGCATGCTTTTCATCACAACAATCATCGTGCAACACATTATTAGTAGCTCTATTTTTCAAGTAATTATTTTCATCTATCAAAGATGTATTTTCACTAGTTAAGGCATGATATTTCTTTCTAAACACAACATATTTAGAACCAAGTTTTTCTAAGTCATTTTGCTTATTTTCAAATGCTTCAAACAATTCATCATAAGATGGAGGTTTATGATTTACCTCATCTTCATCATTTTCAATATCGCTCCCATCATTTGAATTAGCCATCAAGCACAATGAGGATCCGTCACGTTTTTCTTTTTCCACTTCATGAAATTTTTCTTGATTTTGAGAATTATAATTCTCCTTCACATCAAATAAATCATTAGTAGTACAAGGAGAATTTTCAATACTATAAGCATCATTAAGAAAATTCCAAATATCATATGCATATGTAAAATGTGAAATTTTACTACATATATTTTTATCTAAAGCACAACATCTGGTATTTATGGTTTTAGCATTAAAAGAAAGCATTTCACTACTCAAATCTAATTTTGACAAGTTATTTTCACAAACATACAAAATATCAAAATCAATAGATAACAAAAAAGTTTTCATTCGATGTCTCCAAATATCATATTTTCTACCATCAAATAAAGGAGGTTTATCAATGCAATCACTTCCAAGAAAATCTAAAGTTGTCATAGCTCTAGCAATTAAGCTTTTCAAATAATTTTTCAAAGATTAACAAGACACTTAATATCGAGATAAAATTTGAAAAATAGTTTATGTAGAAGAGCGAAACCTCGCTCTGATACCAATGGTTGGATTGGTATGACAACCCTAGAAGGGGGGTGAATACGGTTGTATGAAATTTTATAAATTTTTTAATATGGTGCGCCCAAATTAAACAAATAAGTAAACTTTTTATGAACAAATGATTTTAACACAAAATTAAACAACAAATTAAAAATACAAACAACCTAATTAGTTTCACCACCGAAATAATTCAAATACAAATATTAACCATAAACATGAATAACAGATTCGATCAATTAATTTCATGCAATTTGTAATAAATAAAATTAATTACAAAAATTAAATAAAAAAGGGTTAGAGGAAGTGACACCGGAAATTTATAGTGGTTCGGCAACAATCGGCCTACTCCACTTCCCAAGCTCCTCTTGGGTGTTCCACTAAGAAACTTGACTCTTTTCACGGTAGGAGTCAAACTGGTACAAAAGTCCTCTTTTTCTGGGAGCAAGAAGAAACCCGATCCGTTCCACGGTTTAGGATCAAACCATTACAATAATCTTTTTCGGGCTCAAGAGCAACCTTTACAAGATTTGAAATTTGAGAACAAATTTACAAACTCTCTCAAAGAGTGGTGTACAAATTTTTGCTCACAAATTTGTAACAAAAAATCTTACAAATAAAAACACTCAATTTGGCTAAGAGAAATAAAATTGGAACCTCAAATATCTCTCAAATAAAATCTCCCTCAAGAATTTAAAACAAAAATTGAAGTTTTGAAAAGAGATTAATAATGTAGAAATTGGAGAGAAAATTGGGAGAGTAGATATAAAAATTTGGGAGAAGAAAGATGTTTAAATAGAAGAGGAAAAACTGAAGAGAATTTTGAAATCAGATTTAAATTTGTACCATCGGATTTCAAATGATTAAAAATGAAAGGTTGAGATTTAATTTTAATATTAAATAATATTATATATATATGTCCAACGGTGATGTGAAGTAACTTTTTTTTCTTCAGACTCTCTACTGCCATTGCCTCATGCCGCCTGACACAAACCTTTTTTTTTATTATTTTACCACTGTAACTTTATACATATATAATAATTTTTTTAATTTCATTTCTTCTCTTTCTCATTTCTTTTTCTTTCCTTTCTTTCTCGTTTCTTTTATAAACTAAAATTTTTAGCTCACCATATATCCTATTCTCTTCGTCCATGTACGATTTAGTCGCCACGTCATCGCCACATGTATTTTTCCTTCCAACTTCTTTTTGACCATAATTTCTTCGTTTAAGCTCCAATTTGGGTAATTCAAAAAACGTTGGAATCATTGTATCGAGCTC